CCTGAAAAAATATTGCTAGAAGGGTGGAAGGGCTGTCAAGTTGTTGTAACAAATGGAAAATTCTCAATTGATATGATTGTTGGCTTTTAGCAGTTCCTTTTGACCACCTTTCTTCACACTTCTGAAGGTGCCTTTTTATTTCGTTATATTCAACTCTTGCAAAAATCAAGCTCTAGTTTTCATCTACTTATAGTGGAATCACCATTGCCTTCGTATTATGTGGATCAAATATCTTTACGTTCAATGATATGATTACTAACCTCTATCGACTCTGAGAATTTTATACTTGGCAAATGGCAAGTATTACCTATTTTATAATTAATGAAAAGGAATGCTCTGTGTTGCTTTGTCTCTTGGAGCTTGATAAGAAAGAAAGAGATGGTCATCTAGACTGAGTTGTCAGAAGAGAAGTGAGGCGAAACGCAGAATAGTTGATTTTAGTGTAACTAGATTTCTTTGGAAGAGGACAGATTATGAGAACCTCACTGCTGGAATGTTTGGTTTCTATGGTTTAACTGATGTGGCATGGCTATTGGGGCATTCAGTTTAAAAGTGTTATTTTTGCTTGGTCTAATAATACTTAGTATTCCACTTTGTCTCTGATCTAAAGATTTCAGGGATGGGATGTTTGTGAGATATTTATCAACTCAATGCAGGTAGTCACGCTAAAAATGCTTCATAACATATCCCTTTCTGTCTGACGAGGAAGAAAATCCAATTTAACACTGCAAATGCGTGGCTCTGCAAGCAAGTGTTTGTTGACTTGTGAGCCATTAGTGGACTGCAAATGAGGCAACTTGGGGATATTGGAATCCAATTTGATTCCTAAGCAATCCTCTGCTAGACAGCTACGCTCTTTATTTCAACTAAAATTTCATTCTTTACATCTAATGTTTATTAGATAGAGGCACTGCTGTGTCGATCAAAATTTCAAAAATCTTATAAGAGAGCATCTTTCTAAAATGCGTGACTGTTGAGAAAGATGAAATGTATGCATATTGTATATATGTACTAAGGATGGAAAAAAACTTGTACACTTCGTTAGTTCTTTATTTAAAAGAACTAATGAGATATGACTGCTGAGAGAGAGTTCGCTGCGTCATATTTTCGATAGGAGGGAGGTGGATGGTTTTAACAAAAGTTTGCAATGTATTTCCTGGAAAATTGAGAACTTTTGATTGAGTGGAGGATTTCTTTTCCAGCTAAAGGAATATATGGCAACTCTATAGATTTTATAGAAGCACTATTTACCAGTTAAAGGAATATATGGCAACTCTTTAATGGATTCAGCTCTGTGATGCTTCTTTCTTTACTTGAAAAATCAAAAAGGAAAGTGGCAATTAAACATAAGATTAAATTAGATTTAATTTCAATGTCAATAAAAGCTGAAATGGACAACTTGCCCTTTTCCGTTTATCATGTATCTCAAAAACATATTGAGGACTGACTACAACACATGAAATCCCTGTACTAAAGCAAGTGCCCAGACTCGCTTGATACTAATATTTCTGCTACGGGAATATAAATGTGTTTTTGAATTGTGTCAAACATTTCTTTCTGAAGAATGCTTTTTCAGAATATATTGCTGGCTTGATCTTGTTATATTCTTGTTTGTCCGGTTGTATTTTTACCTTCATTTGAATTAATCCCTATTCCAACGAAGAGGAGAAGAAAAGAAAGACTTCCTTGGAACTTTCAGAAGCATACTGGGTTCAGTATAATCGATTATTCTGTTTTTCAATAAACACGTCATTCTGTTACAACTTCATACAGTTTTATTCACGTTGACCCTTAAACTGCATAGCTGGGAAGTGGTCTTGAATGACACTTATTGCTCCATATAATCGTTAGTCTAATGTTCTGTTTCTTTATTGTTTCAGAAGAAGAAAAAAATATATATAAACACGAGTCTCCACAGTTCGATGTCTTCTCTGATTCTCATTCTAATAAAGAGCTTGGTTTTCAA